TGTGATTTGTTTTGTTGAATTTGGGTGTTTTGTGCCGAAATAGCTCAGTTGGGAGAGCGTTAGACTGAATATGTAAAGGTCCCTGGTTCGATCCTGGGTTTCGCCAGGTTGATCAACAGCTATCCCGAAAGGTTCACGTTCTTCAGGTGTTGATTTTCAAAGAAGGCTGTTAAACCTGTTGTACATTTTTACAAAATATACTGGCTGAATGTGATTTGTTGTGTTGACTTTTGTTACCATCTGGTGCCGAAATAGCTCAGTTGGGAGAGCGTTAGACTGAAGATCTAAAGGTCCCTGGTTCGATCCCGGGTTTCGGCAGGTTAGTCAACAGCTATCCGGAAAGGTTCACATCCTTCAGATGTTCATTTTCAAAGCAGGCTGTTGAAAAGTTTTACAAGATATTCTGCCTGAATGTGATTTGTTTTGTTTACTTTTGCCGTCTTCAGGTGCCGAAATAGCTCAGTTGGGAGAGCGTTAGACTGAAAATCTAAAGGTCCCTGGTTCGATCCCGGGTTTCGGCAGGTTAGTCCACAGCTATCCTGAAATCTTTACGTCCTTCAGGTGTTGATTTTCAAAGCAGGCTGTTAAATCTGTTGAAAATGTGTACAAAATATTCTGTTTTGTTGACTTTTGCTGTCTTCCGGTGCCGAAATAGCTCAGTTGGGAGAGCGTTAGACTGAAGATCTAAAGGTCCCTGGTTCGATCCCGGGTTTCGGCAGGTTAGTCAACAGCTATCCGGAAAGGTTCACATCCTTCAGGTGTTGATTTTCAAAGAAGGCTGTTAAACCTGTTGTACATTTTTACAAAATATACTGGTTGAATGTGATTTGTTGTGTTGACTTTTGTAATCATTTGCTAGCCGGGTTTCGGCAGGTTAGTCCACAGCTATCCTGAAATCTTCACGTCCTTCAGGTGTTGATTTTCAAAGCAGGCTGTTACACCTGTTGAAAAGTTTTACAAAATATTCTGCCTGAATGTGATTTGTTTTGTTGACTTTTGCTGTCCTCCAGTGCCGAAATAGCTCAGTTGGGAGAGCGTTAGACTGAAGATCTAAAGGTCCCTGGTTCGATCCCGGGTTTCGCCAGGGTAGTCGACAGCTATCCTGAAAGGTTCACATCCTTCAGGTGCTGAATTTTAAAGCAGGCCGTTAAACCAGTTGGTTAATATAACAAATTATACTTCCTTAATGTGTTTTGTTTTGTTGACTTTTGCTGTCTTTTTGGGCCGAAATAGCTCAGTTGGGAGGGCGTTAGACTGAAGATCTAAAGGTCTTTGGTTCGATCCCGGGTTTCGGCAGGTTAGTCAACAGCTATCCGGAAAGGTTCACATCCTTCAGGTGCTGAATTTTAAAGCAGGCCGTTAAACCAGTTGGTTAATATAACAAATTATACTTCCTTAATGTGTTTTGTTTTGTTGACTTTTGCTGTCTTTTTGGGCTGAAATAGCTCAGTTGGGAGGGCGTTAGACTGAAGATCTAAAGGTCTTTGGTTCGATCCCGGGTTTCGGCAGGTTAGTCAACAGCTATCCGGAAAGGTTCACATCCTTCAGGTGTTGATTTTCTATGAAGGCTGTTAAACCTGTTGTACATTTTTACAACATATACTGGCTGAATGTGATTTGTTGTGTTGACTTTTGTTATTGTTTGGTGCCGAAATAGCTCAGTTGGGAGCGCGTTAGACTGAAGATCTAAAGGTCCCTGGTTCAATCCCGGGTTTCGGCAGGTTAGTCCACAGCTATCCAGAAATCTGCACGTCATTCAGGTGTTGAATTTCAAAGCAGGCTGTTAAATCTGTTGAAAAGTTTTACAAAATATTCTCCCTGAATGTGATTTGTTTTGTTGATTTTTGCTGTCTTCCGGTGCCGAAATAGCTCATTTGGGAGAGCGTTAGACTGAAGATCTAAAGGTCCCTGGTTCGATCCCGGGTTTCGGCAGGTTAGTCAACAGCTATCCTGAACGATTCACAACCTTCAAATGTTAATTTTCAAAGCAGGCTGTTAAACCTGTTGAAAAGTTTTACAAAATATTCTGCCTGAATGTGATTTGTTTTGTTGACTTTCGTTGTTGTTTGGTGCCGAAATAGCTTAGTTGGGAGAGCGTTAGACTGAATATGTAAAGATCCCTGGTTCGATCCTGGGTTTCGGCAGGTTAATCAACAGCTATCCCGAGAGGTTCACGTTCTTCAGGTGTTGATTTTCAAAGCAGGTTGCAAAACCTGTTGAAAACTTTTACAAAATATTCTGCCTGAATGTGATTTGTTTTGTTGACTTTTGTTGGTGTTCGGTGCCTAAATTGCTCAGATGGGAGAGCGTTAGACGGAAGATCTAAAGGTCCCTGGTTCGATCCTGGGTTTCCTCAGGTTAGTCAACAGCTATCGCGAAAGATTCACGTCCTTCAGGTGTTGATTTTCAAAGCAGGCTGTTAAACCTGTTGAAAACTTTTACAAAACATTCTGCCTGAAGGTGATTTGTTTTGTTGACTTTTGTTGGTGTTCGGTGCCTAAATTGCTCAGATGGGAGAGTGTTAGACTGAAGATCTAAAGGTCCCTGGTTCGATCCTGGGTTTCTTCAGGTTAGTCAACAGCTATCCCGAAAGGTTCACGTCCTTCAGGGGGGTATACTACGAAGCTCGCTGAACATATCCAGGTTTTCTTGGGAAAACCTCGATTGCTAAAGACGAAACTCGCGATCAGAGTTAAACGGTTCCACGAAGCTCACTTAAAGGTAAATTTGTCAAGCCAGGTTTTCCGCTTTAGGTTCAATGCGCGTTCACATAAAAAGGGCGTAACCCAACGTCATTCACCTTGACGCAATGGATCCGACGGAGCGAACACGGGCTGTGTATGTCACTTAGGAGGAGCAAGTAGTGATTATGAACTCATACGAGGAGTTTAAAAAGCAAATAACGGCAAGGGGCGATACAGTTGCCCATGCTGGCAAAAAACAGCAGATTCTGTGAATGCGTAAGAATTGTTCGCCATTAATCCCAATACTCTATTGGGATTAATGGTTTCCGTCAACAGGTATATTTTCAAATATACCTGTTGAAAAGTTTTACAAAATATACTGGCTGAATGTGATTTGTTGTGTTGACTTTTGTTATCATCTGGTGCCGAAATAGCTCATTTGGGAGAGCGTTAGACTGAAGATCTAAAGGTCCCTGGTTCGGTCCCGGGTTTCGGCAGGTTAGTCAACAGCTACCCGGAAAGGTTCACATCCTTCAGGTGTTGATTTTCAAAGAAGGCTGTTAAACATGTTGTACATTTTTACAAAATATACTGGCTGAATGTGATTTGTTGTGTTGACTTTTGTTATCAGCTGGTGCCGAAATAGCTCAGTTGGGAGAGCGTTAGACTGAAGATCTAAAGGTCCCTGGTTCGATCCTGGGTTTCGGCAGGTTAGTCAACAGCTATCCGGAAAGGTTCACATCCTTCAGGTGTTGATTTTCAAAGAAGGCTGTTAAACCTGTTGTACATTTTTACAAAATATACTGGCTGAATGTGATTTGTTGTGTTGACTTTTGTTATCATTTGGTGCCGAAATAGCTCAGTTGGGAGAGCGTTAGACTGAAGATCTAAAGGTCCCTGGTTTGATCCCGGGTTTCGGCAGGTTAGTCCACAGCTATCCTGAAATCTTCATGTCCTTCAGGTGTTGATTTTCAAAGCAGGCTGTTAAATCTGTTGGAAATGTTTACAAAATATTCTGTTTTGTTGACTTTTGCTGTCTTCCGGTGCCGAAATAGCTCAGTTGGGAGAGCGTTAGACTGAAGATCTAAAGGTCCCTGGTTCGATCCAGGGTTTCGGCAGGTTAGTCAACAGCAATGCGGAAAGGTTCACATCCTTCAGGTGTTGATTTTCAAAGAAGGCTGTTAAACCTGTTGTACATTTTTACAAAATATACTGACTGAATGTGATTTGTTGTGTTGACTTTTGTTATCATTTGGTGCCGAAATAGCTCAGTTGGGAGAGCGTTAGACTGAAGATCTAAAGGTCCCTAGTTCGATCCGGGATTTCGGCAGGTTAGTCAACAGCTATCCGGAAAGGTTCACATCCTTCAGGTGTAGATTTTCAAAGAAGGCTGTTAAACCTGTTGTACGTTTTTACAAAATATACTGGCTGAATGTGATTTGTTGTGTTGACTTTTGTTATCAGCTGGTGCCGAAATAGCTCAGTTGGGAGAGCGTTAGACTGAAGATCTAAAGGTCCCTTGTTCGATCCCGGGTTTCGGCAGGTTAGTCAACAGCTATCCGGAAAGGTTCACATCCTTCAGGTGTTGATTTTCAAAGAAGGCTGTTAAACCTGTTGTACATTTTTACAAAATATACTGGCTGAATGTGATTTGTTGTGTTGACTTTTGTTATCATTTGGTGCCGAAATAGCTCAGTTGGGAGAGCGTTAGACTGAAGATCTAAAGGTCCCTGGTTCGATCCCGGGTTTCGGCAGGTTAGTGAACAGCTATCCTGAACGGTTCACATCCTTCCGATGTTGATTTTCAAAGCAGGCTGTTACACCTGTTGAAAAGTTTTACAAAATATTCTGCCTGAATGTGATTTGTTTTGTTGACTTCTGTTGGTGTTCGGTGCCTAAATTGCTCAGATGGCAGAGCGTTAGACTGAAGATCTAAAGGTCCCTGGTTCGATCCTGGGTTACGTCAGGTTAGTCAACAGCTATCCTGAAAGGTTCACGTCCTTCAGGTGTAGATTTTCAAAGCAGGCTGTTAAACCTGTTGAAAATTTTTACAAAATATTCTGCCTGAATGTGATTTGTTTTGTTGACTTTTGCTTTCTTCCGGTGCAGAAATAGCTCAGTTGGGAGAGCGTTAGACTGAAGATCTAAAGGTCCCTTGTTCGATCCCCGGGTTCAGCAGGTTAGTCAACAGCTATCCTGAACGGTTCACATCCTTCAGATGTTCATTTTCAAAGCAGGCTGTTAAACCTGTTGAAAAGTTTTACAAAATATTCTGCCTGAATGTGATTTGTTTTGTTGACTTTTGTTGGTGTTCGGTGCCTAAATTGCTCAGATGGCAGAGCGTTAGACTGAAGATCTAAAGGTCCCTGGTTCGATCATGGGTTACGTCAGGTTAGTCAACAGCTATCCTGAAAGGTTCACGTCCTTCAGGTGTAGATTTTCAAAGCAGGCTGTTAAACCTGTTGAAAATTTTTACAAAATATTCTGCCTGAATGTGATTTGTTTTGTTGACTTTTGCTTTCTTCCGGTGCCGAAATAGCTCAGTTGGGAGAGCGTTAGACTGAAGATCTAAAGGTCCCTTGTTCGATCCCGGGTTTCGGCAGGTTAGTCAACAGCTATCCTGAACGGTTCACATCCTTCAGATGTTCTTTTTCAAAGGAGGCTGTTGAAAAGTTTTACAAGATATTCTCCCTGAATGTGATTTGTTTTGTTTACTTTTGCCGTCTTCCGGTGCCGAAATAGCTCAGTTGGGACAGCGTTAGACTGAAGATCTAAAGGTCCCTGGTTTGATCCTGGTTTCGGCAGGGTAGTCAACAGCTTTCCTGAAAGGTTCACATCCTTCAGGTGCTGAATCTTAAAGCAGGCCGTTAAACCAGTTGGTTAATGTAACAAATTATACTTCCTTAATGTGTTTTGTTTTGTTGACTTTTGGTGTCTTTTTGTGCCGAAATAGCTCAGTTGGGAGAGCGTTAGACTGAAGATCTAAAGGTCCCTGGTTCAATCCCGGGTTTCGGCAGGTTAGTCCACAGCTACCCCGAAATCTTCACGTCCTTCAGGTGTTGATTTTCAAAGCAGGCTGTTAAATCTGTTGAAAAGTTTAACAAAATATTCTCCCTGAATGTGATTTGTTTTGTTGATTTTTGCTGTCTTCCGGTGCCGAAATAGCTCAGTTGGGAGAGCGTCAGACTGAATATGTAAAGGTCCCTGGTTCGATCCTGGGTTTCGCCAGGTTAGTCAACAGCTATCCTGAACGATTCACAACCTTGAAATGTTGATTTTCAAAGCAGGCTGTTAAACCTGTTGAAAAGGTTTACAAAATATTCTGCCTGAATGTGATTTGTTTTGTTGAATTTGGGTGTTGTTTTGTGCCGAAATAGCTCAGTTGGGAGAGCGTTAGACTGAATATGTGAAGGTCCCTGGTTCGATCCTGGGTTTCGCCAGGTTAATCAACAGCTATCCCGACAGGTTCACGTTCTTCAGGTGTTGATTTTCAAAGAAGGCTGTTAAACCTGTTGTACATTTTTACAAAATATACTGGCTGAATGTGATTTGTTGTGTTGACTTTTGTTATCATTTGGTGCCGAAATAGCTCAGTTGGGAGAGCGTTAGACTGAAGATCTAAAGGTCCCTGGTTCGATCCCGGGTTTTGGCAGGTTAGTCAACAGCTATCCGGAAAGGTTCACATCCTTCAGGTGTAGATTTTCAAAGAAGGCTGTTAAACCTGTTGTACATTTTTACAAAATATACTGGCTGAATGTGATTTGTTGTGTTGACTTCTGTGATCATCTGGTGCCGAAATAGCTCAGTTGGGAGAGCGTTAGACTGAAGATCTAAAGGTCCCTGGTTCGATCCCGGGTTTCGGCAGGTTAGTTAACAGCTATCCGGAAAGGTTCACATCCTTCAGGTGTTGATTTTCAAAGAAGGCTGTTAAACCTGTTGTACATTTTTACAAAATATACTGGCTGAATGTGATTTGTTGTGTTGACTTTAGTTACCATTTGGTGCCGAAATAGCTCAGTTGGGAGAGCGTTAGACTGAAGTTCTAAAGGTCCCTGGTTCGATCCCGGGTTTCGGCAGGTTAGTCCACAGCTATCCTGAAATCTTCACGTCCTTCAGGTGTTGATTTTCAAAGCAGGCTGTTAAATCTGTTGGAAATGTTTACAAAATATTCTGTTTTGTTGACTTTTGCTGTCTTCCGGTGCCGAAATAGCTCAGTTGGGAGAGCGTTAGACTGAAGATCTAAAGGTCCCTGGTTCGATCCAGGGTTTCGGCAGGTTAGTCAACAGCTATGCGGAAAGGTTCACATCCTTCAGGTGTTGATTTTCAAAGAAGGCTGTTAAACCTGTTGTACATTTTTACAAAATATACTGACTGAATGTGATTTGTTGTGTTGACTTTTGTTATCATTTGGTGCCGAAATAGCTCAGTTGGGAGAGCGTTAGACTGAAGATCTAAAGGTCCCTGGTTCGATCCCGGGTTTCGGCAGGTTAGTCCACAGCTATCCTGAAATCTTCACGTCCTTCAGGTGTTGATTTTCAAAGCAGGCTGTTACACCTGTTGAAAAGTTTTACAAAATATACTGGCTGAATGTGATTTGTTGTGTTGACTTTTGTTATCATCTGGTGCCGAAATAGCTCATTTGGGAGAGCGTTAGACTGAAGATCTAAAGGTCCCTGGTTCGGTCCCGGGTTTCGGCAGGTTAGTCAACAGCTACCCGGAAAGGTTCACATCCTTCAGGTGTTGATTTTCAAAGAAGGCTGTTAAACCTGTTGTACATTTTTACAAAATATACTGACTGAATGTGATTTGTTGTGTTGACTTTTGTTATCATTTGGTGCCGAAATAGCTCAGTTGGGAGAGCGTTAGACTGAAGATCTAAAGGTCCCTAGTTCGATCCGGGATTTCGGCAGGTTAGTCAACAGCTATCCGGAAAGGTTCACATCCTTCAGGTGTAGATTTTCAAAGAAGGCTGTTAAACCTGTTGTACGTTTTTACAAAATATACTGGCTGAATGTGATTTGTTGTGTTGACTTTTGTTATCAGCTGGTGCCGAAATAGCTCAGTTGGGAGAGCGTTAGACTGAAGATCTAAAGGTCCCTGGTTCGATCCCGGGTTTCGGCAGGTTAGTCAACAGCTATCCGGAAAGGTTCACATCCTTCAGGTGTTGATTTTCAAAGAAGGCTGTTAAACCTGTTGTACATTTTTACAAAATATACTGGCTGAATGTGATTTGTTGTGTTGACTTTTGTTATCATTTGGTGCCGAAATAGCTCAGTTGGGAGAGCGTTAGACTGAAGATCTAAAGGTCCCTGGTTCGATCCCGGGTTTCGGCAGGTTAGTCCACAGCTATCCTGAAATCTTCACGTCCTTCAGGTGTTGATTTTCAAAGCAGGCTGTTACACCTGTTGAAAAGTTTTACAAAATATTCTGCCTGAATGTGATTTGTTTTGTTGACTTTTGCTGTCCTCCAGTGCCGAAATAGCTCAGTTGGGAGAGCGTTAGACTGAAGATCTAAAGGTCCCTGGTTCGATCCCGGGTTTCGGCAGGGTAGTCAACAGCTATCCTGAAAGGTTCACATCCTTCAGGTGCTGAATTTTAAAGCAGGCCGTTAAACCAGTTGGTTAATATAACAATATATACTTCCTTAATGTGTTTTGTTTTGTTGACTTTTGCTGTCTTTTTGGGCTGAAATAGCTCAGTTGGGAGGGCGTTAGACTGAAGATCTAAAGGTCTTTGGTTCGATCCCGGGTTTCGGCAGGTTAGTCAACAGCTATCCGGAAAGGTTCACATCCTTCAGGTGCTGAATTTTAAAGCAGGCCGTTAAACCAGTTGGTTAATATAACAAATTATACTTCCTTAATGTGTTTTGTTTTGTTGACTTTTGCTGTCTTTTTGGGCTGAAATAGCTCAGTTGGGAGGGCGTTAGACTGAAGATCTAAAGGTCTTTCGTTCGATCCCGGGTTTCGGCAGGTTAGTCAACAGCTATCCGGAAAGGTTCACATCCTTCAGGTGTTGATTTTCAATGAAGGCTGTTAAACCTGTTGTACATTTTTACAACATATACTGGCTGAATGTGATTTGTTGTGTTGACTTTTGCTATTGTTTGGTGCCGAAATAGCTCAGTTGGGAGAGCGTTAGACTGAACATCTAAAGGTCCCTGGTTCAATCCCGGGTTTCGGCAGGTTAGTCCACAGCTATCCAGAAATCTGCACGTCATTCAGGTGTTGAATTTCAAAGCAGGTTGTTAAATCCGTTGAAAAGTTTTACAAAATATTCTCCCTGAATGTGATTTGTTTTGTTGATTTTTGCTGTCTTCCGGTGCCGAAATAGCTCATTTGGGAGAGCGTTAGACTGAAGATCTAAAGGTCCCTGGTTCGATCCCGGGTTTCGGCAGGTTAGTCAACAGCTATCCTGAACGATTCACAACCTTCAAATGTTGATTTTCAAAGCAGGCTGTTAAACCTGTTGAAAAGTTTTACAAAATATTCTGCCTGAATGTGATTTGTTTTGTTGACTTTCGTTGTTGTTTGGTGCCGAAATAGCTTAGTTGGGAGAGCGTTAGACTGAATATGTAAAGATCCCTGGTTCGATCCTGGGTTTCGGCAGGTTAATCAACAGCTATCCCGAGAGGTTCACGTTCTTCAGGTGTTGATTTTCAAAGCAGGTTGCAAAACCTGTTGAAAACTTTTACAAAATATTCTGCCTGAATGTGATTTGTTTTGTTGACTTTTGTTGGTGTTCGGTGCCTAAATTGCTCAGATGGGAGAGCGTTAGACGGAAGATCTAAAGGTCCCTGGTTCGATCCTGGGTTTCCTCAGGTTAGTCAACAGCTATCGCGAAAGATTCACGTCCTTCAGGTGTTGATTTTCAAAGCAGGCTGTTAAACCTGTTGAAAACTTTTACAAAACATTCTGCCTGAAGGTGATTTGTTTTGTTGACTGTTGTTGGTGTTCGGTGCCTAAATTGCTCAGATGGGAGAGTGTTAGACTGAAGATCTAAAGGTCCCTGGTTCGATCCTGGGTTACGTCAGGTTAATCAACAGCTATCCTGAAAGGTTCACGTCCTTCAGGTGTAGATTTTCAAAGCAGGCTGTTAAACCTGTTGAAAATTTTTACAAAATATTCTGCCTGAATGTGATTTGTTTTGTTGACTTTTGCTTTCTTCCGGTGCCGAAATAGCTCAGTTGGGAGAGCGTTAGACTGAAGATCTAAAGGTCCCTTGTTCGATCCCGGGTTTCGGCAGGTTAGTCAACAGCTATCCTGAACGATTCACAACCTTGAAATGTTGATTTTCAAAGCAGGCTGTTAAACCTGTTGAAAAGGTTTACAAAATATTCTGCCTGAATGTGATTTGTTTTGTTGAATTTGGGTGTTTTGTGCCGAAATAGCTCAGTTGGGAGAGCGTTAGACTGAATATGTAAAGGTCCCTGGTTCGATCCTGGGTTTCGCCAGGTTGATCAACAGCTATCCCGAAAGGTTCACGTTCTTCAGGTGTTGATTTTCAAAGAAGGCTGTTAAACCTGTTGTACATTTTTACAAAATATACTGGCTGAATGTGATTTGTTGTGTTGACTTTTGTTACCATCTGGTGCCGAAATAGCTCAGTTGGGAGAGCGTTAGACTGAAGATCGAAAGGTCCCTGGTTCGATCCCGGGTTTCGGCAGGTTAGTCAACAGCTATCCGGAAAGGTTCACATCCTTCAGATGTTCATTTTCAAAGCAGGCTGTTGAAAAGTTTTACAAGATATTCTGCCTGAATGTGATTTGTTTTGTTTACTTTTGCCGTCTTCAGGTGCCGAAATAGCTCAGTTGGGAGAGCGTTAGACTGAAAATCTAAAGGTCCCTGGTTCGATCCCGGGTTTCGGCAGGTTAGTCCACAGCTATCCTGAAATCTTTACGTCCTTCAGGTGTTGATTTTCAAAGCAGGCTGTTAAATCTGTTGAAAATGTGTACAAAATATTCTGTTTTGTTGACTTTTGCTGTCTTCCGGTGCCGAAATAGCTCAGTTGGGAGAGCGTTAGACTGAAGATCTAAAGGTCCCTGGTTCGATCCCGGGTTTCGGCAGGTTAGTCAACAGCTATCCGGAAAGGTTCACATCCTTCAGGTGTTGATTTTCAAAGAAGGCTGTTAAACCTGTTGTACATTTTTACAAAATATACTGGTTGAATGTGATTTGTTGTGTTGACTTTTGTAATCATTTGCTAGCCGGGTTTCGGCAGGTTAGTCCACAGCTATCCTGAAATCTTCACGTCCTTCAGGTGTTGATTTTCAAAGCAGGCTGTTACACCTGTTGAAAAGTTTTACAAAATATTCTGCCTGAATGTGATTTGTTTTGTTGACTTTTGCTGTCCTCCAGTGCCGAAATAGCTCAGTTGGGAGAGCGTTAGACTGAAGATCTAAAGGTCCCTGGTTCGATCCCGGGTTTCGCCAGGGTAGTCGACAGCTATCCTGAAAGGTTCACATCCTTCAGGTGCTGAATTTTAAAGCAGGCCGTTAAACCAGTTGGTTAATATAACAAATTATACTTCCTTAATGTGTTTTGTTTTGTTGACTTTTGCTGTCTTTTTGGGCCGAAATAGCTCAGTTGGGAGGGCGTTAGACTGAAGATCTAAAGGTCTTTGGTTCGATCCCGGGTTTCGGCAGGTTAGTCAACAGCTATCCGGAAAGGTTCACATCCTTCAGGTGCTGAATTTTAAAGCAGGCCGTTAAACCAGTTGGTTAATATAACAAATTATACTTCCTTAATGTGTTTTGTTTTGTTGACTTTTGCTGTCTTTTTGGGCTGAAATAGCTCAGTTGGGAGGGCGTTAGACTGAAGATCTAAAGGTCTTTGGTTCGATCCCGGGTTTCGGCAGGTTAGTCAACAGCTATCCGGAAAGGTTCACATCCTTCAGGTGTTGATTTTCTATGAAGGCTGTTAAACCTGTTGTACATTTTTACAACATATACTGGCTGAATGTGATTTGTTGTGTTGACTTTTGTTATTGTTTGGTGCCGAAATAGCTCAGTTGGGAGCGCGTTAGACTGAAGATCTAAAGGTCCCTGGTTCAATCCCGGGTTTCGGCAGGTTAGTCCACAGCTATCCAGAAATCTGCACGTCATTCAGGTGTTGAATTTCAAAGCAGGCTGTTAAATCTGTTGAAAAGTTTTACAAAATATTCTCCCTGAATGTGATTTGTTTTGTTGATTTTTGCTGTCTTCCGGTGCCGAAATAGCTCATTTGGGAGAGCGTTAGACTGAAGATCTAAAGGTCCCTGGTTCGATCCCGGGTTTCGGCAGGTTAGTCAACAGCTATCCTGAACGATTCACAACCTTCAAATGTTAATTTTCAAAGCAGGCTGTTAAACCTGTTGAAAAGTTTTACAAAATATTCTGCCTGAATGTGATTTGTTTTGTTGACTTTCGTTGTTGTTTGGTGCCGAAATAGCTTAGTTGGGAGAGCGTTAGACTGAATATGTAAAGATCCCTGGTTCGATCCTGGGTTTCGGCAGGTTAATCAACAGCTATCCCGAGAGGTTCACGTTCTTCAGGTGTTGATTTTCAAAGCAGGTTGCAAAACCTGTTGAAAACTTTTACAAAATATTCTGCCTGAATGTGATTTGTTTTGTTGACTTTTGTTGGTGTTCGGTGCCTAAATTGCTCAGATGGGAGAGCGTTAGACGGAAGATCTAAAGGTCCCTGGTTCGATCCTGGGTTTCCTCAGGTTAGTCAACAGCTATCGCGAAAGATTCACGTCCTTCAGGTGTTGATTTTCAAAGCAGGCTGTTAAACCTGTTGAAAACTTTTACAAAACATTCTGCCTGAAGGTGATTTGTTTTGTTGACTTTTGTTGGTGTTCGGTGCCTAAATTGCTCAGATGGGAGAGTGTTAGACTGAAGATCTAAAGGTCCCTGGTTCGATCCTGGGTTTCTTCAGGTTAGTCAACAGCTATCCCGAAAGGTTCACGTCCTTCAGGGGGGTATACTACGAAGCTCGCTGAACATATCCAGGTTTTCTTGGGAAAACCTCGATTGCTAAAGACGAAACTCGCGATCAGAGTTAAACGGTTCCACGAAGCTCACTTAAAGGTAAATTTGTCAAGCCAGGTTTTCCGCTTTAGGTTCAATGCGCGTTCACATAAAAAGGGCGTAACCCAACGTCATTCACCTTGACGCAATGGATCCGACGGAGCGAACACGGGCTGTGTATGTCACTTAGGAGGAGCAAGTAGTGATTATGAACTCATACGAGGAGTTTAAAAAGCAAATAACGGCAAGGGGCGATACAGTTGCCCATGCTGGCAAAAAACAGCAGATTCTGTGAATGCGTAAGAATTGTTCGCCATTAATCCCAATACTCTATTGGGATTAATGGTTTCCGTCAACAGGTATATTTTCAAATATACCTGTTGAAAAGTTTTACAAAATATACTGGCTGAATGTGATTTGTTGTGTTGACTTTTGTTATCATCTGGTGCCGAAATAGCTCATTTGGGAGAGCGTTAGACTGAAGATCTAAAGGTCCCTGGTTCGGTCCCGGGTTTCGGCAGGTTAGTCAACAGCTACCCGGAAAGGTTCACATCCTTCAGGTGTTGATTTTCAAAGAAGGCTGTTAAACATGTTGTACATTTTTACAAAATATACTGGCTGAATGTGATTTGTTGTGTTGACTTTTGTTATCAGCTGGTGCCGAAATAGCTCAGTTGGGAGAGCGTTAGACTGAAGATCTAAAGGTCCCTGGTTCGATCCTGGGTTTCGGCAGGTTAGTCAACAGCTATCCGGAAAGGTTCACATCCTTCAGGTGTTGATTTTCAAAGAAGGCTGTTAAACCTGTTGTACATTTTTACAAAATATACTGGCTGAATGTGATTTGTTGTGTTGACTTTTGTTATCATTTGGTGCCGAAATAGCTCAGTTGGGAGAGCGTTAGACTGAAGATCTAAAGGTCCCTGGTTTGATCCCGGGTTTCGGCAGGTTAGTCCACAGCTATCCTGAAATCTTCATGTCCTTCAGGTGTTGATTTTCAAAGCAGGCTGTTAAATCTGTTGGAAATGTTTACAAAATATTCTGTTTTGTTGACTTTTGCTGTCTTCCGGTGCCGAAATAGCTCAGTTGGGAGAGCGTTAGACTGAAGATCTAAAGGTCCCTGGTTCGATCCAGGGTTTCGGCAGGTTAGTCAACAGCAATGCGGAAAGGTTCACATCCTTCAGGTGTTGATTTTCAAAGAAGGCTGTTAAACCTGTTGTACATTTTTACAAAATATACTGACTGAATGTGATTTGTTGTGTTGACTTTTGTTATCATTTGGTGCCGAAATAGCTCAGTTGGGAGAGCGTTAGACTGAAGATCTAAAGGTCCCTAGTTCGATCCGGGATTTCGGCAGGTTAGTCAACAGCTATCCGGAAAGGTTCACATCCTTCAGGTGTAGATTTTCAAAGAAGGCTGTTAAACCTGTTGTACGTTTTTACAAAATATACTGGCTGAATGTGATTTGTTGTGTTGACTTTTGTTATCAGCTGGTGCCGAAATAGCTCAGTTGGGAGAGCGTTAGACTGAAGATCTAAAGGTCCCTTGTTCGATCCCGGGTTTCGGCAGGTTAGTCAACAGCTATCCGGAAAGGTTCACATCCTTCAGGTGTTGATTTTCAAAGAAGGCTGTTAAACCTGTTGTACATTTTTACAAAATATACTGGCTGAATGTGATTTGTTGTGTTGACTTTTGTTATCATTTGGTGCCGAAATAGCTCAGTTGGGAGAGCGTTAGACTGAAGATCTAAAGGTCCCTGGTTCGATCCCGGGTTTCGGCAGGTTAGTGAACAGCTATCCTGAACGGTTCACATCCTTCCGATGTTGATTTTCAAAGCAGGCTGTTACACCTGTTGAAAAGTTTTACAAAATATTCTGCCTGAATGTGATTTGTTTTGTTGACTTCTGTTGGTGTTCGGTGCCTAAATTGCTCAGATGGCAGAGCGTTAGACTGAAGATCTAAAGGTCCCTGGTTCGATCCTGGGTTACGTCAGGTTAGTCAACAGCTATCCTGAAAGGTTCACGTCCTTCAGGTGTAGATTTTCAAAGCAGGCTGTTAAACCTGTTGAAAATTTTTACAAAATATTCTGCCTGAATGTGATTTGTTTTGTTGACTTTTGCTTTCTTCCGGTGCAGAAATAGCTCAGTTGGGAGAGCGTTAGACTGAAGATCTAAAGGTCCCTTGTTCGATCCCCGGGTTCAGCAGGTTAGTCAACAGCTATCCTGAACGGTTCACATCCTTCAGATGTTCATTTTCAAAGCAGGCTGTTAAACCTGTTGAAAAGTTTTACAAAATATTCTGCCTGAATGTGATTTGTTTTGTTGACTTTTGTTGGTGTTCGGTGCCTAAATTGCTCAGATGGCAGAGCGTTAGACTGAAGATCTAAAGGTCCCTGGTTCGATCATGGGTTACGTCAGGTTAGTCAACAGCTATCCTGAAAGGTTCACGTCCTTCAGGTGTAGATTTTCAAAGCAGGCTGTTAAACCTGTTGAAAATTTTTACAAAATATTCTGCCTGAATGTGATTTGTTTTGTTGACTTTTGCTTTCTTCCGGTGCCGAAATAGCTCAGTTGGGAGAGCGTTAGACTGAAGATCTAAAGGTCCCTTGTTCGATCCCGGGTTTCGGCAGGTTAGTCAACAGCTATCCTGAACGGTTCACATCCTTCAGATGTTCTTTTTCAAAGGAGGCTGTTGAAAAGTTTTACAAGATATTCTCCCTGAATGTGATTTGTTTTGTTTACTTTTGCCGTCTTCCGGTGCCGAAATAGCTCAGTTGGGACAGCGTTAGACTGAAGATCTAAAGGTCCCTGGTTTGATCCTGGTTTCGGCAGGGTAGTCAACAGCTTTCCTGAAAGGTTCACATCCTTCAGGTGCTGAATCTTAAAGCAGGCCGTTAAACCAGTTGGTTAATGTAACAAATTATACTTCCTTAATGTGTTTTGTTTTGTTGACTTTTGGTGTCTTTTTGTGCCGAAATAGCTCAGTTGGGAGAGCGTTAGACTGAAGATCTAAAGGTCCCTGGTTCAATCCCGGGTTTCGGCAGGTTAGTCCACAGCTACCCCGAAATCTTCACGTCCTTCAGGTGTTGATTTTCAAAGCAGGCTGTTAAATCTGTTGAAAAGTTTAACAAAATATTCTCCCTGAATGTGATTTGTTTTGTTGATTTTTGCTGTCTTCCGGTGCCGAAATAGCTCAGTTGGGAGAGCGTCAGACTGAATATGTAAAGGTCCCTGGTTCGATCCTGGGTTTCGCCAGGTTAGTCAACAGCTATCCTGAACGATTCACAACCTTGAAATGTTGATTTTCAAAGCAGGCTGTTAAACCTGTTGAAAAGGGTTACAAAATATTCTGCCTGAATGTGATTTGTTTTGTTGAATTTGGGTGTTGTTTTGTGCCGAAATAGCTCAGTTGGGAGAGCGTTAGACTGAATATGTGAAGGTCCCTGGTTCGATCCTGGGTTTCGCCAGGTTAATCAACAGCTATCCCGACAGGTTCACGTTCTTCAGGTGTTGATTTTCAAAGAAGGCTGTTAAACCTGTTGTACATTTTTACAAAATATACTGGCTGAATGTGATTTGTTGTGTTGACTTTTGTTATCATTTGGTGCCGAAATAGCTCAGTTGGGAGAGCGTTAGACTGAAGATCTAAAGGTCCCTGGTTCGATCCCGGGTTTTGGCAGGTTAGTCAACAGCTATCCGGAAAGGTTCACATCCTTCAGGTGTAGATTTTCAAAGAAGGCTGTTAAACCTGTTGTACATTTTTACAAAATATACTGGCTGAATGTGATTTGTTGTGTTGACTTCTGTTATCATCTGGTGCCGAAATAGCTCAGTTGGGAGAGCGTTAGACTGAAGATCTAAAGGTCCCTGGTTCGATCCCGGGTTTCGGCAGGTTAGTTAACAGCTATCCGGAAAGGTTCACATCCTTCAGGTGTTGATTTTCAAAGAAGGCTGTTAAACCTGTTGTACATTTTTACAAAATATACTGGCTGAATGTGATTTGTTGTGTTGACTTTAGTTACCATTTGGTGCCGAAATAGCTCAGTTGGGAGAGCGTTAGACTGAAGTTCTAAAGGTCCCTGGTTCGATCCCGGGTTTCGGCAGGTTAGTCCACAGCTATCCTGAAATCTTCACGTCCTTCAGGTGTTGATTTTCAAAGCAGGCTGTTAAATCTGTTGGAAATGTTTACAAAATATTCTGTTTTGTTGACTTTTGCTGTCTTCCGGTGCCGAAATAGCTCAGTTGGGAGAGCGTTAGACTGAAGATCTAAAGGTCCCTGGTTCGATCCAGGGTTTCGGCAGGTTAGTCAACAGCTATGCGGAAAGGTTCACATCCTTCAGGTGTTGATTTTCAAAGAAGGCTGTTAAACCTGTTGTACATTTTTACAAAATATACTACGGTGGCTGGTAAGTGCAAAACAAAATTACAAAAACTGAAACACTTTTACAAATACTCAAACAAATGTACATTTTAGAAAACAAATATACAACATTCAAAACACTTTTACAAACTCTGAAACAAATTTACGAACTCTGAAACACTTTTACAAACTCTGAAACAAATTTACGAACTCTGAAACACTTTTACAAACTCTGAAACAAATTTACAAAGACAAAATCCTAACGGAAAGGGAATGTACCAAAAGCCGGAAGTGATTGAGTGAGTCGTTTGTTTTGAAAATACTGTACGGAGCGAGTAGTGTTGTGTGGTTTGTATGGAGGTTAATTATGTTTTGCCCATTTTGTGGAAACAATTTGAGTCTGTTACCGCGGTTTTGTATTTCGTGTGGACGGTCTCTGGAGTTTTTAAAGGACACGGATCAGACGGAAGGACCAAGCGCACAGGGGACAGCGAAGCAGCCGGAAAATGCTAAACAAAGTAAGTGCAGCATAGCGCTAGCTATCTGAAGCCATTTTCAGACATGCAGTGAATACAGCTACCGTTTCAGCTTATTTCGCTACACAGTCCACTATTTCCAGACATAATAGAATTCCAACGTGTTTAGTAAATATGCACCCCTAGTTATTGGTGACTGTTTGAGCTGCTGCTAACTTTATACTTGAACTCTGTTCGTTCTAGCAGAACAACCAGGCCCATCATATAAACAGTTCATGGAGTACAGAAGCACCAAGTCCAAAGAACGACAGTCTTTTAACTGTGGGCCGAAAGAAAGACATAAACAAGAAAAGAAAAGCGTCCAGGTAAGTTGCCTTGGCCGTTTTATACAATTTTGCAAAGCTATATATATATATATATATATATATATATATATATATATATATATATATATATGTGTGTGTGTGTGTGTATATATGTTTGTGTGTGTGTGTATATATATGTGTGTGTGTGTGTGTGTGTATATATGTATGTGTGTGTGTGTGTGTGTATGTATGTGTGTGTGTGTGTATATATGTATGTGTGTGTGTGTGTATATATGTATGTGTATATATATAGATATATGTATAGATATATGTATATATATATATGTATATGTGTATATATGTATATATGCGTGTATATGTTTGTGTGTATATATATGTATATATGTGTGTGAGATTAATTATGTCTTTCTGTTGTCTAACTAGATAAACATAGGATTGATGGTGCCACACGGAACTGATTTAAAACCTTTAAGAGGGAAAACACTCCCACTATTTACAGACCCAGAAGTAGCAGCACCTGATCTGCTGAAACAAGCTGTGCAGAAAATGACAACATTTAATAAGGACATGGATGAAGGACCATACGTCCTTTTGTATCCTGACTGTTCTGAGGTGGTCCATGTGCCTGGGACAGAAAGGCCATTCAAATTGGCTGAATATAAAAAGGAAATTGGGAAGGCATATTCCAGGATCACTTTTTACCTTTGCCTAGAAACACACTTTAAAGGAGGTTCGTGGGTCTCATAATTCAATATTTGTACATATTTACATACTCTAGCATACATA